GCATGGCCAGTTCAGCAGAGCATCTGGGTCAGGGACACTGGTGGCAATGTGAGAAAGGGTCTGAGCCAGGGATTAAACAAATGAGTGTTGTCTGTGATGTGTGAGAGCTGACCAGGTAAAAACTAAGTTTTGTGATGCTGATCATCCCTTAAGTCTGAAAGCTTACCTTTTTCTAAAAGCCTCAACTTCTAGGTTATGCTAATATAAACAAGAATTTGATTTTTTCATTTAAGTGCAGCCACAAAACATTTAAAGCTCTCGTATATGGAAAGAAAACTTTGAAAAAGTAAAAAACTCAGAACTGAGAAGATAAAGCAGGAGTCCAAATCTCCAGAATATAAGGGACCTGCCCAGTAAGTTTTGGATGCTCATCTCATGTTTGGCAATTGTTTTAAAATCCTGTGCGAGTCATCAGAGCTGTCAATAATACAAGAGAAGAAAGAAAAGGAAATTACTTTTCCCCACACGCACGTTAGACCACTGAAAATAACCACCGCCTGTGACTCTTAGCTGAGATACCAGTGACTTAAGAGCGTGTGTCCTTGCTCGGAACTATTAATGAGCTGTTTGTTACCCCCTGCCATTGTAGGGAGAGTACTCGAATGTTTAGAGCATGTGAGATAATCCAGAGACGTGCTGTGCAGAAGTAGTTGCCACTTATCTGCATTCCTCCTAAATAGGCTTCTGAATACACGGCTCTCTTTTCCACACCAAGTAGGGAAGGAGCTGCAGCCTTGGAAGAAATGTATTGGGGCTGAAAGGAAGCCTTAAACGTCAGTCTAGAGGTATGACTGCACTGGCAAGGAGTTGGTAGATCTTATGTATGGACATTGGCATGTTCAGGGTTACAGCTGCTGGCTTATGCCCTGAGGAATTTGTTACCTTTCATTGTGTTTTGAATGTCTGCAGCTTTGAAGCCTTTGTTGCTATGTCTGTCACATTTCAGGAAGGGCACAAATTCCAGTCTGACACTGGTTAGCTGGTTAGAGCAGGAAGCTGGAAGGAGATGCTTGGGGATTTGGGAGTATTATTATATATTATATTAAAAAAATTGTTTTGTTTTGCCTGATCTGGCAGTACTGGTTTCTCTGTTTTTAATATTGACGTGAAGGATCTCGTTTTTGGTTCCCTTTGAAAGAGTCCCTTCTGAAGTGCTGCTGTGCATACTTGCACGTGTGTCTACAGGAACGGCTTGACCGTGTCTACAGGAAGTTTTCGAGGGGAGCTGGGAGCAGCAAATGTTTCCGCATCCACCTGCTCCCACAGCCCAGCCTGTCTGGCCAACCTGGTAGGGACTGCTGCGTCTGAGGATGTACCGTCCAAACACTCATGGCACGCTGACTTCTGGCGTGTACCTTCCGAAGTGTTACAGAGGGCAACGCTTTGCTGTTCTGGGGCCGTGGAGCCAGGTGTGCTGTCTGGCTGGACCGTGTGTCTGGTCCCAAGAGCAGCCTTAGGGCTAAGATAGGCCTAATAGGACTTCAGTATGTGGTTTGGGTTAAGCATATGGGAGGTAGGTAGAATAACTCTGTAGCCCTGATGCAAAGAGGCTCTGAAGTATGTTCTCAACTCCAAACACACGCCATAATTTCCTCAGTCTAAACAGCAGTTATTTCTACCTGCATGCAGCAAATCTGTATGCAGATCCTCAATGGATCAAAATCAACTTTTAAATGGAGTTTGTGGAGTTACAGCAACCCAGGCACTCAGGATTGGTTACGCTCACCCTAAGCGTGCTGAATCCCTTCTGTGTATGGGAACCTGCATGAAGTCTGTGTTCGTTTGAGTGCTCGAATAATGCTGATTAGTTTCACAGTAGGTGAACACTGAATGCTTGTTATTTTAAATGAATTCCATAATTGCTAGTAAGTGTGGGGATATGTGGAACAGTCATTTTTCTAGATCTAGTTCTAATGGGTTTGTACACCTCCATTTAATTTCAGCAAACTTCTTTAATTATCACTTTATTTTTAACCTCAAATCACTTCTTATGAAAAGTAATTTGTTCTTTTAAGGCCAAATAATTTTTTTGGTGTGAATTCTTTCCTTCATGCTTTTCTTAATGCAATGGAGGTCAATGCTTTGCACTGTAAGCAGTGTCAAGACTCTTGAATCAAAAAGACATCACTGAAATCATAGTTTTATGGCAGTTCTGATGTCACTGTTTCTAAACAGAGATGAGATAGTTTAAAAAGTATAAAGCATGAAATCACAAGTTTAACTGCTCGGATACTGCCATTGTGGAAGGGAACCTGTGTTGCTCTGGGATTGCAGCAGCAGTGGACCCTGCCTTTGCCCATGCATGTGAACTAGTGATTGGTGACAGCCAACATGGCTTCACTAAGGGCAAATCGTGCCTGCCAGATTTGGTAGCCTTCTACGATGGGGTTACAGTGCTGGTGGATAAAGGAAGAGCAACTGACGTCATCTACCTGGACTTGTGCAAAGCATTTGACCCTGTGTCTCATGAGACCCCACCTGGATTGCTGCGTCCAGCTCTGGGGTCCCCAACGTAAGAAGGACACAGAGCTGTTGGAGCGAGTCCAGAGGAGGCCACAAATATAATCAGGGGGCTGGAGCACCTCTCCTGTGAAGACAGGCTGAGAGAGTTGGGGTTGTTTAGCCTGGAGAAAAGAAGGCTCTGGGGAGACCTTATAGCACCTTCCAGTACCTGAAGGGGGCCTACAGGAAAGCTGGAGAAGGGACTGTTTACAAGGGCGTGGAGTGATAGGACAAGGGGTAATGAATGGCTTTAAGCTGAAGGAGGGTAGATTTAGATGAGATATTAGGAAGAAATTCTTCATTATGAGGGTGGTGAGGCACTGGAACAGGTTGCCCAGAGCAGTTGTGGATGCCCCATCCCTGGAAGTGTTCAAGGCCAGGTTGGATGGGGCTTTGGGCAACCTGGTCTAGTGGAGGGGGGCCCCGCCCCAGGCAAGGGAGTTGGAACTAGATGATCTTTAAGGTCCCTTCCAACCCAAACCATCCTGTGATTCTATTAAGCCCATGGAGAGGGCCAGTGCAGAGTCAAAACTTCTGGGTACCAGCAACCTCCTCAGCTTCAGAATGGCTTTTATCTTAAAGCTGAGTTAAGATTTACTGCAGTACTGCCCTTCTTGTAGTTTTCTTCCTGCCCTATGGAGGGACTTGTGTTTATCTAGTGAGTTTAATTCGTAACAGTTTTCCATATGTAGAAGAGCATAGTATTGCTATAAACCTCTTTAGCCTGGATAGCAAATCATTTTAGGCTGTTTCTTTCTGCTTTGCTTGAAATAAGGCATCTTTCTGTAACTGAAACATATGGAGATCAGAAGGACCATTATTATTAAGTATATTTGTCTAAATTTTCAGGCTATGTCAACTGTTACAATTTCAGGGTACTTGCTGCTAATATAAAATGGTAGAAACAAAAAGCAGATACTGTACAGGCATGCAAAATCAGGCTGAAGGCCTTTAAGTTGAGCTCAGCTTTTGTTGACTGGTTTTAGACTGCGCCCTTCACACTGTCTTCCTGGGATCAACTTGGAGTTAGGCTGCATCCTGCTGAGCCTTCACCAACCCACAATGTAGATCTTATGTGGATATTTTAATGAAGAAAATATTTAAATAATCGTTGGCAGCTGTTGCTGGGATGGCATGCTGGAGAGCCCAGATATTGGCTGATTTTACAGACTGATCTGTTACTATGTTTGCTCGTTGAATCTTCTTTGCTTTTGAGTATCTGTTGAACATGCTCATTATATTCTGGCTGGTGTGAAACAAATGCTAGTTAAGAATGGGGATGCTTGAGGCAAGAGAACAAATTGAATTCCCTGAAGGCAATTTCCACCTCTTACAATGTCCCACTGCTGCCTCCAGTTCATGTAGCAGGAAAACAAGTATCCCCAACTCTCTTGTTTAGTTTCTTGTTTGTCTGAGACACTTTTACCTACAATTCACAGACTAGGGTCTTTGTTTATGCATGATTTTGCAGCTTCAGATACCTGTTTCTGTTTGTGTCATGGAAGCCTTTGATTGGCTTAGAGTTACACTTGATCTCACTCTCTTTAGCATTAATTTTTGTGGGGGAGGAAAAAGATGGGAACACAAACTTAAAGGGCTTGTAAGAGGTCTCTAGGACCTCTAGAGAGTTAAGAGATCTTGGCAAACATGGACTCTGACTATTCAAACCAAGATCTGTGGTATGACATTGAAACTTGTTCATTTGCTGCAGCTATCAAGTCCCCACAGGAGTGGACACTGGGTACGAATAGGCCCCACAGTTGTTCTCCATAGACTATCATGACCATGAAAATTGACATTTTTCTCCTCTGGTCCCCATCTGGTAGTCTTTCTCTTGGGTTGGTAATTTCACTGCCTTTGGTTCCAGGAGGATTAAAGCTTCTAATTTTAAAGTTTCCCTTACTGGAGTCTGATTCTGAAAATATTGGTGGCACTGCAGGACTCAAAATGATTGGTGCAGAAGTTAATATGCATTTCAACAAGTATATTTCTTCTGTATTGTAACATCTTTCAAAGGAGAGACTGACTTTGATCTGAGCAACAGATTGCCTTGAAATCTGGCAGTGGTCTAAGTTGAGAGTTTTAGCTTAACGCTTTTACTCTCGCTGGGATTTTTTTACTTTTTCTTAAAGATGATGCACATTTTAATGTATTAGAAAATAGCCAGTTTTGCACTTTGCTATATATAGCAAATATATATCTTAGGGTTTAATCAATATCTTAAGATGTAATATTGAGGATTAGTCTGAAAGTAGTAACTATATTGGGTGGAAATACTCTTTAATTTCTGATAATTAGCAGCAAAAAAAGTAACTGGTGGTTGACATAAATCCATTTGAGTTTTGAAACTAATTTTTTTGAAGAAACTGTGACTATTACCATGACTTCTGTGATGAATGTCCAGCATAATTTCCAGTGCTGTCTGGGCAGGCATGAAACACAACATAACTATTCTGCCTTTCACTTCAAACAGAGATAAACAAAATCCAGAAGTGAAAAAGGCAAGTCCCTCCGCCACAATGAGCTCTGGTAAGTCTGTGTTGTTTTCCACTTGCCCTCATTGGCATTCTTTTTTATTACTAGAACTATTCCTTTCTGTTTCTGATGCAATTACTCTTTTTTTTTTTTTTTTTTTTTTTTTTTTTTTTTTTTTTTTTTTTTTTTTTTTTTTTTTTTTTTTTTTTTTTTTTTTTTTTTTTTTTTTTTTTTTTTTTTTTTTTTTTTTTTTTTTTTTTTTTTTTTTTTTTTTTTTTTTTTTTTTTTGACTCTTCTTCTGCCTCCAAGAACAGAGTCAAAGCCCTTGAAAGCTCAGGAAATCTGACTATTAAGCAACAGCAGAATGGCTTCATAGTAAAATGTGTCCTGGCTTTGCATTTGTTGTTTCAATTTGACCCATAATGCTCAAAAAAATGACTAGAAACCTCTTGAGCCATCTTGGGTAGGTCACTTTAGCTTCTTTCACTTTGGAATACCAGAATTCCAATTTATTGATTACCTGGAAAAAAAAATCTGAAAGAATTTGATATAGTTTAGTAGGGGTGAATGCAAAGTTTGACATCTGGATAGGAAAAATCAGCTGCTCAAAGAAAAATGAGGGACCAGGAAATGAGAGCTGGTTGGAAGAGAAAAACTTCTGATCTTGTCTGGGTAACAGGCTAAATCAGAGTGAAAAACAAAGCAGATGCCATACTGAAATGCCGTATGTAGGACCTGTGGAATAATATTCCTACTTGATTTTAGCACCTTATCAAGTCTTGACTGGAGTATCGTGTCCAGTTTTTAGCACCACATTTTGAGAAAAATGTAAACCATTTGGAGAGAACCCAGAGGAAAGCTAGGAGACTAATCGGGGTCTGAAAAACATGAGCTAGGAATTTGGTTTAAGCATTGATAAGCTTCCAGGTTGTGAAGCACTGGATCAGGTTGCTTTAGAGTGATGATGGAAGTTTGTAAGAATTCGTTAGGCAAACATTTGTCAGCAGTGAAAGAGGTAGATCTGTTTCTGCTGTAAGTCAGGAATATGGCTTTAGATGACCCTTGGAGGTCCTTTCTAGCACTATCTTCTGTGTTTCTCTGATTTCACAAGAGCCAGTTCTCTGAATTCACAAGAGCCAGTTTTATTCATGTCAGCTGAAGACATTGCAGACTTGAAAAATCTCTTTTTAAAAGCTCATCACTGAGCTGGATACCATATGCACATATAGAGACAGACCCTGTTTAAAAGAGGCTGTGATCCAGGTAGGCAGAGGGAAAGGAGAAACAGGCGTGTCATCCAAGGGAGATTTGTGTCTCTAAGCAGCATCTCCTGAGATAGCAGGAATACTTCCTAGTTCATAAATGAAATGGTGCTGACCCATGGCATTCCCTCATAGTCAGAGGTTAAATTAGTTCCCTCATAGTCAGAGGTTGCAGAGGTTTTAACCCAGAAGTAATCTGCTTCTTCATTTGTCTTACAGAACACGAAGAAATCGATGTTGCAAAAACCGTTGTCAATGGGCTGAGCAGCAATGGGCAAGAAAAAGGTGGGTTTAAGAGTTTCAGAGACGTCTCTGCAGCTCCCCCTGCATGTTAGCTGCATGATGTGGTTGATTTCCCCGGACATTCACTACAGTAGGGGTTTCCAAATTTAGTTTGCTTGGTGACTGATACAAGAAAAGCTTTGTGCTGCACCGTGCCAGCAGCAGCAGCATTTCTTAGCTGAACAAGTGTTCTTTGTCTCTTAAAGGTGGCAGGCTGGATTTGCCTCTTTGTATGTTTTTAGTGCTGTTTTCAGGAAAGCTGTGCGCTACATGGTACTTGTGAGCACCTGTGAATCACTGTCTTGTGGGTTTAGACAGCATGAGTTTGTGGGTGCCTATGTGTGAGTCCTGTTAACTTCAGTGGGAGGTGAAGGTTTGAGCCCAGAATTAAAGGACAGGAACTAACTGTTTAAGTAATAATTTAAAAAATAAAAAATCTATCATTAGCAACAATTATTTAAAACCCAAACTTATCCAAACAAACCAGTCTTCATGTTAATATCAGCAGGTTTGCAGTGTGCTTTATAGCATTCAATATTGTGTGGTGATGGTGTTTGTTTTGGCAGGGTGAAAGTATGTGGTCATATGGGTTGGTTTTCTGCTGGTTTCGTTTCCGTTCTTTCCCTTTGATGCCTTTTTTATAGTGGTTAGTATTTTGACTGTATTGTGGATGGATGAATTCAGTCAGTTACAGAGCAGAACAGAAATAGGGTTGTTTCCTAAACCACAGGCTGTTTGGATTTGGGATCTATTGTATTCACAGGGTCTCCAGTGCTCAGGAAGAAGCATGGAGAACAGGGTTTGATTTGGGTTCCTCTTTTTGTGTATATATATATATATAAATTTAAAACAATCCCATCAAATTAAAACCTAATGATTTTATGAGATTTGAAAAAATTCTATTAAACTCTTCCCCCATCCTTTTGCTTTTCTAGGTTGGTGAAGTCTGTGCTTTCCAGTTTTGCCAGGGACCAGAAAGATCTGCCACAAGAGGGGGTGTACACACCACCTTGATGCCAATGCCTCCCTCAGGCTGGCCCAGTGCTCGATGTTGGTCTGTGAAGTGTTGGAAATGTGGTTCCTCTTACTCCTGATTTTGCAGGCCTGAGAGAGATGGCATGGAAAGTGAGGAGGCATAAAGCATTTTCCAGTTAATACGTGCAGAAAGCTAATAGGTTTTAATGGAGAAAATCCTGGCTCTGCAAAAATCAAGAGCACAATTCAAGTTATTCTGGTGGAGCCATGATTTACAAGATGTTTATCTTGGTAGATCCTGTTGAGCTTCACCTCTGAGTAGTTTTACCTTTGCCTTTTTTTACTGCCTCACCCCCTTTCTTTTTTCTCTCTCTCTCTCTCTCTTTTTTTTTTTTTTTTTTTTTTTTTTTCAAAAAAGGGGGGGTCGTCACATTAGCTGCAATACAGAGTCAGAGAGAGGAAGTACTAGCCGTTTTGGAGAGTTTTGTAACAATTGCTAGAGTTTTGCACAATGCTATGTATGATTTTCCCTTACGTTACTACATCTAGTATAATTGGTGTGCTAGCTGGTGGAGTCCAGTAGAAATCTCTTCAATTTACTGTTTAAATGGATGGGGTTTTTTTCTGAAATGGATATTTTGATGCTACCCTTTGGCATGGGACTATTTTCAAGATTGTTTCACGTTTCACTTCCTTCTGTTGCTGAACTTGTAAAATATGCGCCATAAAATCCAGAATTCATGTAATGTGGCTAGTTTAATGTTCCTATGTCAACCTTTCAGTCCTTGTTTTTTCACTTTATTTTAACTAAGCCATATTAATGTTGACTTACCAATTTTATTTTTGCATGTAGTGTATCTCAGCTAAATGATTACACTAATTTTTTTTTATGGCTTCTAAAAACTAATGCTACCAGATTCTTCTTGCCTGCAGCACAGTGGCAGTCAGCAGTTAGTCAATTCAGTAAGCAGATCTGTATGCTGCATAAAATAGACATGTCCTGAATTAGTGCAAACGAAGGGATATTTTTAACGGTTGCATCATTGCTCTCTGAACTGCTTTTGTATTTGAAATTTCCTGCTATTGTGTCTCCAAGTACATTAGAAAATTTTGTGGCATGCTTCCCAAACTCTGTTCTTCCCTTTTGGATGTGCCATTTACACTTTTGTGTTTGCAGCTGTTGATGTCCCTTTATGTACACGCTCTATTTCTGCCGTTAAAATAATCCCTGTGAAGAAAGTGAAAAGTTCTCCTCACCTAGTGCTGCCTACAGGTATCTTCTTCCTTCCTCCCCCTGCCATGCATTAGTTGGCCATTATTCTTTCCCTTCTCTCTCTCTATCTCTGCTTCACCCACGCGCTTTGGCTAGTTTTCAGCTTCATCCTCTTCTCACTGTTTCCAGAGCTGTAGATTTTATCAGTAGGTAATAAAGTTAGCTCTTGATGGCACAATACACTGTTCTCAATTATGCTGCTCCTCTGCAGTCATAATGGCGTCTGCTTGAATCTGGGATCATTGTAAGCTCTCCTACTAATGCTTAGTTATGAATAATATTGTTATTACAGCCTCATTTTCAAACAAACTCCTGATGAACCAAAGAATGTTTCCTGCATATCTTTAGTCTTTACAAAAGTAAATGAATGTCAGAGATGGTATTTGACAGGTTCAAGCACAGTTCAACATTGGTGGGATGGCTTTGTTTTTCTGTACGTACACTGACTTTATGGAAACTTTATACAGATAAATAGGGACATTAGGCTGTCTCACCCCCTCCCCAGCACATATTTTCCCACTAAAAGTACGAGATTATTTTTGTACTTTGCTGGATTTGGACAGTCGGACTAGTCTAGCTGATACTGCCTGTCTTTCCTAGTCTGCACACATGAAGTTTTCCATCATTTCACCTAAACTGTGAAGTAATTCAACATCTTAGGTATTTGTTATCTTCTCCCAAATTGAAGTAGTCTGACAATACTTTACTTTCAAACTTTTTCAAAACATTTTAATTTTATTTTTTTTAACGTTCAGAACATTTTTCTTCTGCTTCTTATTTTTTTGATTCGGTGTATAGGTTTAATATGTTGTATGAAAATTAAAAAAAGTGGTTTGATTCCCAAATTTGATTCTTCTCCAATATGATGGAGACATTTATGGCATGGTAAATTCCTAAGTGTTTCCATTTCTCTGCGGTGCCTGTGAAGGAAATCTAGGTGTAGGAGCATAGGAGAACAGCTACCCTGCATTCTCTGTGGATGTCTAAATCAGGCTTGGTGACCCCTAACAGCGTGTTCATGCCTCAGAGTTACAGCACTCTTGAAACTGGAGTCCCAGAGCTTAAATCTTTGTCCTCTGGTTTGAAAGTGGGTCTGCAGAGTCCTCGGGCTGCGTGATGTGCTGAGTGGATGGGAACAATAGCCAGAATTGGACTGCTGGGCAAAAGGAATCCTGGTCCTATCTGGATAATGCAGAAATAAGTCAGAGAAGTCAACTTCTATTTCACCAGGCATGTGGGTAACCTTAAGGCACGATCAGTTGTATGGTGTGAGTGCAAACATGATACATTTAAGGATTAAGCAGCATTTGATATGTCTGTTTTGGATAGTCTTTCCCCTCACAGAGACTGCCACAACGCTGCCTAAATTAACTAAAGGTTGAACTGTAGGAAAATATCCTCTGATTCCTTTCTTAGTCCATCCTTTCTCCAGTCCTAAGTGTGCATCTGAAGGTATGCTTTTTGTGAAATCCCTAAAGCATTGGAAGCCCATGTAAAAGCTTGAACTGTGGTGATTCCAGTGTAGGGGGCTTTCAATGTGAGCCATGTGTTTGACATTCATCGAGTCTTTCCCCTTACTGCTGTTATCCATCTGGCACTGTTGATGTTTCCCTATACTGTGGCCACCTCGACTGTAGTTTGCGTGTTTTGCAACCTTAGCTGCGGCGTTGTCATGGTCTATAGGCACTGTACTGGTGTGGATACAATGGGGCATTATCTTACTGAAATCAGCCAGGGAATATTGATCTGCGCAAACATGGACTGTTGTCTGGGCAATAAGCAGCAGCCTTTGCCCCCTCTTTCAGTCTGAAGGCATAACTTTCATTATAATAACAGTTCCTAGAGAGGAGCTGCATCCCTCCCTGTGCAGAGATAGTATGATCCTCACCCCATAAAAATAAAAATCATCATGTTGTCCTTTGTTTAACACAGCACATGCTCAGGACTTCTTGAGGCTCCTTGTGCGGTGCCATGATAGGACTAGTATCTCCATTTAGGTAGGTCAAAGTGAAGTCTGATGGCAGCTGCAGGGTCAGTAATAGTGCATGAGAAAGGGAGGCGATGTGTTTTCCTGTGGAAGTAGCTTGGATAAGTGAGAGACTCTTTAGGCTTATTGTTTCTATAGGTATCTTAGAGGAAACAACTCTCTGGAAGGATTTTAAGTAAGGGGAGGAAGATGGGCTTCAAGTTCTGGTTTGTTATTACTTAATAGGATGATAGGAGGAAAAAACCCAAATCCATGGACTGAAATGCACAAAGGTAAGCCTACGCAGAAGCTGTGCTGAATTGGGCCTCAGCAAGGATGCTGGCGTGATCTGGTGTCTGGCTCACAGGGTGATCTGAATGGGTATATGTTAAATCTCCTAGTTTTTGGGATTTGGGTTCATATGTCAGAAGGTGAAACACTGCCATGGAACAGGGGGAGATGGCAAGGAGGTGGCTTGCAGTGCCCTGCCTTCAGATCATATTCAGCATAGTTACATGATTTTATCCTCCAGTGGTCGTAAGACTTTTCTTCTTCCTTTTTCAGTCCTGCACAGAAGGCATTTTTAAGGCTTCAGCATACAAGTGGTATTGCTTTATACCACTAGAACATTTCTATAGAAGAGTCACAGGTATAATGGTAGAATGTCCTTGCTGGTACAGTATCTCCACACAAAGCAGACCAAATAAAGCAAATGGACCTGTGAAATTTGGTTCAAACACTCATCCTGTTTTCCACCTTTCTTAGCTCTGTTACACTGACTCAGAACTTACTTCTACATTCATCAGTTACATGAATATGAAACTGCTTTGATTTCTCAATGCTTTAAATCCAGAGCTAATCTTCATCTGCATAAACATTGCTAGATTGATTCACCCGGAGGCAGCCATGCTAAAATTACTCCGTAGAGCTCTGATGGCTCCTAATAGCTTTGTATCATCTGTTTCAACGTCTCTCCTCTGTGCATGTGCATTTCCTGTAGAAATGGATCCCACTAAAGTCTGCAGTGGAAAAGGAGCTGTGACCCTCCGGGCATCTCCAGCCTATGAAGAGAACCAGAATATCACTTCGCCATGTCCTCAGGATGTTGAACAACCTGAAAGTGAGTGAGTGGAAGATTAACTGAAATATGCTACTCGCAATGACCTCAAGTGAGGTCAGTCCAGGGTCTTGGGGTGACTTTTTTTAGCTGTGATTTAAAACCCCAAATCCTGTAGCATAGTAAGAAACCTCTTGCGAGAACCAGACCAGTGGAGGAAGACTGGCTCCTGTTCTCTCCTAGTGCAGGTTTCATGACCACTCACTCATCAGCTTAAGTTTGTTTACAGCTCCCTTTTGCTGTCAGGAGCACCAAAAACTCTCAAATCTTTTTTTTTTTTTTTTTTTTTTTTCCTGGCAGGCCCATGTCACCTCCTTTTATCCCAGGCGTGAGGTGGAACAGAAAGAGGCCAAGTGGCGCTACTGCCACCATAGCGTTCACTTGGGTTGTCAAGGGAGCAGGGATAGCGTCCCAGACAGACAGTGTCGCCACAGAGGTCTGCCATCTTTCAATAGCAGACGTGTAATTACTTAATTGTAGGAGACAGGCAAAGCATAACAAACCTGGCCAGTGTCGTGGGTCTGGCAGAGAGGATGAACTCCCAAAGGCAAGATGCAGTTAAGGGGGGAGGGGGTCAAACTTGCTCTTGAAAGCAAATCATACATTGTTTCTGACTGTATTGTTGGAGGAAGGGCAATTCCATTAATTCCAGCCCCAATGTGCTGCTTTCTGCTCTGTCTTCTCCTCCCATTCTGCTGTACCCGTGACCTACCCTCTTTTCATGCTTGCCATTCTCTATTTCTTCACTCCTACCCCCCACCATTGCCTCTCTCCTTTCTGTTGATGGCTTCATAAATTTCCAGCAGCCTGAATGGCAATGAGCCCATTACTATGGAAATCAGCTCGTTAATACTTCCTTTGCTTACTGTCTCAATTGCTTTATGAAATGTACTTTGGAGCTGGAAGAGCTTTTTGCATATAACCTAAACAGCAAAATGGGTAAAGGGGTGGGGAGGAGCCCAGTGGGAGGTGGGTAAATAGGTCATGAGACCAATGCATCTAGCTGCAGGGACTGGGTTGTAAAGTGACATCACATTTTATAACTTCTTTCATGCACACACACTTAGTCTGCAAAACCTGATCTATTTGTTGACAGTCATTTATCTCAGTTAATCATACATGGTGATGTTGATAAAGATAGATATGTCTTCATAGCCTGTATCATGGCTGGATGTGGGGTCCCTACATTTCCAGTAATTGGTGGTGTCTGGACATCAAGCTGCAACTTTAGAAAGTAGCTAGCTGAGCTGCCTTTTTGCCTCTAAAATAAGAATGTCAATGAACAATTGTTTCTTCATTGCTCTGAATGAATTGCTTTGTGTTTACAAAGGTCAGAAACAAGGAGGGCATCGTGTTTAGGGCTGGTCTCTATGGTAATTAGGCAGCCCTGTCAGAAAGCATTTTATGTGTGAAATGAAGTAGCTCAACTCTTAACTTCAATTCGTGCATGTTTTCTGTAAATTTAACGGTTTATTTTTTCCCTTTCTTTTCCTCTGTGCCTATCCTCCACCCCCACCTCTTCCATCCCTCCTTTCTGTGAAACGCTTAGGTCTGGAACCAGAAAACCCAGAAACAGGTACAAACATTGGCTGCTTATGTTGTTGCTTCTGTTGCTTTCTTGGAAGTATTTCTTGCTGCCTGGAAAAAAAAGAAAAGAAAAAAAAGGAAGAAAAGAGTCCTCTCCTTTCGCTCGTGCTGTAGCTGGAGGGAATCCTCTGTGATCTGAGTTTTCCTTGCCCTCGTAGATGATTGGAGGTCGTCGTCTAACACTGATGCCAATGGGGATGCCCAACCATCTTCTCTGGCTGCCAAGGGTTATAGGAGTGTGCATCCGAACCTTTCCTCAGACAGCAAGCCACAGGTAAGCCTTTCTTCTGTGACCCCGAGGGTGATCTTCTGGGTTCAAGAAATGGATTCATGGTCAGGAGCCCTGGGTTGAACTCCAAACTTTGCTGCAAACTTGGGTAAGTTGCTGTGCCTCAGCTTTTCCTATCTTTGAAATGGAGGCAACACTGATGTCAGCAGAGTACTGTGGAGCTCGTGTGTTCAGGCACGCCACAGTGTTTCCTTGGTGGATGAAGGAGGAGGACAACGCTATTTGTTTGCAAGAAAAAAGGTGAAGTAGTCATCTATTACTGTTTTGTCTTTTGTGTTGGTCTATTGGTCTATTTCCTAGAGGTTGCTGAGGGCTGAAAGCAGAGTTAAACCCTGCATTAAAAACAAGATACTGGGGAAATGCCTTTCAGTTTTAACACTGTAACTGATACAAGCCAACAGGGGAAGGTTATTTGTACCTGAAGGTAAATTGTTGAAGTCAATCTGTTAAGAGAAGTGTAACTTCATCCTTTTTCTTTTGGGTGGTCAGTCTGCACAGAAGCAGTCTGAAAGCTGATAAGGAAACCCTCCATTAGAAACAGCTTTCCTGTGTGAAACAGAGTCCCTTTAAAGACTTGTCCCCTATCAGGGTAACTGCTCTTATCATCAGGGACCTATAGCAGTGCCACAGAACAGACATCATTCCTGAAATTGTAAGTGAAAGTAGAAGGCGGCACAATTGGATGAAGGCGTGGGAAGGAGCGGCACCCTAAAGGAGAGACCCGTTTACTTCCTGATACTGAAGCTGTTCTGTAATCCCTTATTGATCCTGTGGATGAACAGAGAGAGCACTGACGCACATAGTATTTCTTATAGAAGTCTCAAGGACTGCTGTCTAAACTAAGCTGAAATGGAAGAAAATGGGAAATAGTAATTGCAGATGGTGAATTAGTGTTTCCTGATAATGCTATGTAGTGGTAAAGTGAGGCTTCACCTTACCTAGGGAAATGTTGTGGCACTCTGAAGTCTCCAGACTGAAACTACTGTCCTTAAGGTATTAAAAGGAATGAGCTTGTTCCAGAGGCAGAAGCCTTTCAGAAGGAGCACTTACTAACCTGCTTCTACACTCCCTTAGACATCAGAGAAGGGGTAGAAGGAAGAGGGGTAGCATGAGGACAGTAGGTTTCAGGACAACAGCTGTAATTTTATGAAGCTATTCTAGGTCTGTTCTTGTTACATTAATATAGGTGCTGGCCACAACCTGTCATATGTGGATGAATTTTAAAGGAGGTATTTTTTCAGATTTGAATGTTGCAAGCTGTTAAGGTGTCTTTGTTCTCTGGTTTTGGACATTTTAGCAGTGGTTTAGCCAGCCTTTGCCCAAAAACGATGTGAGAACAGGGTGTGTTCTATTTTCATAGTCTCCAGAGGGTTAATTTGAAAGAATGCAGGGAGCTACTGTTCACAAGGTGGGTGTTTTAGTTCTCCTCCTTCCAGTAGTTTATAGTTTTCAGCCGCCAAAGTTGCAACAAAGCAATAAATAAACCAAAAACCTTTCTATTGCTAAGTTATTTTACTTTTAAACAGTTTGACTTTCAGAAAAAAAATCACCATAATTGGAGTTGCAGTTGGCAGGCAGTTGTGGAGTTAACAACCTATACGTTGCAGAGTACCCCAAAACCAGTAAAGGGGTTTTTTTATTATTTACTAGAAGCAGGATTTCTCCATCGGTGATCTTGGTTCTGGAGGCAAATTCTTATGAATTCAGTTCCTCAAGAAACTTTAATTGTTCTGGCCTTCCTGAAAGCTTTTTCAGGACTGAAAAATCCTGAAGAGAATTCAAGAGCTAGCTTTTAGAAGAAGGAAATGCTGACTTTTTACTTAGCCAGCTGTGGCAGGCTATAGTATTCAAATGATGTCTGCTTTCATTAGTACTCGTGAAACTTCGCAATGTTCATTTTTTGGCATTGCACTTAACATGCAGCAGAGATGGCCTAGAGCTCTGAATCTGGCTTTGTGATTCAAATGTCCCCAATACTGGGAAGTATTTCATTACACAGGCATGAGCCTGGGTTTAGTTAGCCGGGATGTTAAATCTTGATTTGGGCTTTCCCAGGGGCGTTGGTGGGTGTTGCTGTGCAGGCCTCTCAAAACAATACAGCACTGAGATTTATTTAGCCCAGAGAGAGAAACATGTAGGCAGGGACTTGAGAGCTGGGTAAAGTTTGCGTGCTCCAGTGAGCAGCGCTGAGAAAGAGAGAATGAGTGAGATGATGTGAGTGAGTTCTGCGCTGGCCTTCCAGATACTGTATTTGCTTTTTGTTCTTGCTGTATTAAAACCTGCTTAACCCAAGTCTAATGACCAAATTCATTCTTTGAATTTATTTATTTTTTCCTTCCTTTTTCCTTTCATTTTGGTGCTGCTTCCTCTCTTCCTTTTTGACTCTGCCTGGGCAGGCCCTTGCTCCTCCCCGTCCTCCTCTTCCCAAAGAGGAAAGCTTTGCATGGCGTCCTCGCACTGACACTAAAGTGACCAACCTCTTGCCAGTGCCCATCATGGACTGTGTGTACCTGAATGCACCCAAGCCTTATACGCAGCGTGCATCACCAAATGCCAGTGCACGGTGTTATTTCTCATCACCTACCCCCTATGGGGCTGTCCCCAGTGGGAAGCAAGGCTTGCCAGCAGGGATTTCTCCTTCCTCAGGTCCCAAAGATGAGGTGCATGCTGGGCAGCCACTCTTGGAAAGTCGCTCCTCATTGGATGCGTCATCTGTACAACACAACCCTGACAGGGCAGATCCCGGTAGTAAGGCTGGAATGAATTCCAGTCATGAGACGAAGGTGGATAAAAAGGTCACCAAACTATATGTAGCTTGTTTATCTAACAGCACTTGCTCGGCCGCATCTGAAAATTCCACTGGCACCACACATGACCCAGCAGCCAGCACCAGTTTGCATTGGATGCGTCATCTGTACAACACAACCCTGACAGGGCAGATCCCGGTAGTAAGGCTGGAATGAATTCCAGTCATGAGACGAAGGTGGATAAAAAGGTCACCAAACTATATGTAGCTTGTTTATCTAACAGCACTTGCTCGGCCGCATCTGAAAATTCCACTGGCACCACACATGACCCAGCAGCCAGCACCAGTTTGGGTGCTGAGCTCACTCAGGCACCAGCCACCGACATTGTTTCCTCTGTAACAGATACTGGAAAGTCTCTTCCTGCTGCTCCTCCTCCTCCTATTCCTCCCAGGCCGTACTTTTACATTGTCCTCAGTAAAGACGCAGTTAGTTATGGTGCGGGCCAACCTTCCTGGACTCAGTCGTCACCTCCGCAAGCTGTGAGGGACAGAGTGCTAGAGCCCCAGAGCACAGCTGCCACAGAGGACAGGATGAGAAAAGAGCCTTACCTTACTCAGCAGCGACAGCCACCGTACAAGGCAATGGGACGCAGCATGGTACATGTTTTCTCCATAACCTTGTTTTCTTTCAGCCGTGTGAACAGTTCTTTAATTCATTACAATGTTCCCTTAATGCTTTATTCTCTTCCCCCCCACCTAATTTCTGAGCACTTGTTGTGCCACCTGAGTCTTGCAGTCTTCTACTCGGTAATATTTAACATCCCATGCGCCCCCCCCCCCCCCCATGTTGATCTGTGTGTTTGTGCGCGTGTGGTGTTTGTAGGGGGTTGGGTTGAGCTGATGAGGATCTTTCTATTTTAGGGAGGTGTAAAAGGAGCAAACTCTGTAATGCGATGGTTAGTGCTTCTCAAGTGATAGTGAATGCAGAGCTGTTCTGTGGTTTGATTTAGCCTCACTGCACAGAACTGGAGAAGAGGGGTGGTGAGGGGAAGGAAGATTTTTGTGAAAAACTATGTGTGTTCATAGAGGCCAGGGCTGCAAGACTGAAGAAGTATGTCTCCCTAAGGAAAGAAATCTGTTGGGGTTTCATATCGTTTTGGGTGCATCCTTGCATGACACTATATGGCTGCATTAGACTAAAGTACCAGTCTCCCCCATTGCATAACAACACCTTGTTTCCTACAGGATGCCACTGCCACCACCACAGCTCAGCCTGGGGTTATAGTAGTCCCCCTCCTCCAGGTTAATCCAGACAGACAGCAAGAAAGCAGCTCCAGCACTCCACCACCGCCTCTGGTTCCTTTCGGGCAAGGCTCCGTATTCCCCGAGACTGTTTCTCCTGGCTCACCCTTGACTTTTCCGACTCTAGATGATTTCATTCCCCCACATCTCCAGAGGGGTTCCCACCATAACCAAGCACCCTCCGCATCTGGCACATTACCCTCTGTTTACCCGAAACTGCCATTCTTCTCATCACCACCTTCACTTGTCCCTCCAGTCACGGGGGCTTTGCACAGGGGCTTGAAGCCTGAAATCACTGGAGTCATCTCACATACAGTAAGCTTGCCAAGTACCCTCCTCGCCCTTTTCCTAAATTTGTATTCCCAGATTAAAATTACTTTCTCCTTGCAATACTAAACTTGAGAGAGGAGTGATGACTCACTCCCTGCCAGCAGCATGACAACTGAAACCTTGTTTACATCCTGTGCTAGTGCATGCGTGCTGCCTGCCTTGTGCAGCTTTGAACTTTCTTTTGACTTCTCGCAACATTTGACTGACTCCCTTTGTGCCCGTTCTCCTAAGTGATGCACACCTTAAGAGTCTTCACAGGATTTGCTCAGAATAATGAATTCTGTATAAATAGAATAGCTGCAACTAACTGATCTCTTCAGGCTCTTTTAATAGCATCCTTAATTGTGTTTGAATACCATTTAAAGCAGCAACAGCAGACCAGTTAAAGGTTAGGGCTGGCTTTCTGTTCCACTTGGAGCCACAAGACCGTACGGTCTCTACACAAATCCCTACTGAAATCCGTGTAAGATTGCTGCCAGTATCCAATGACCTACAAGCAATAATATCAGTTGCTGAGCTAAGAGTCTTCCAAGCATGTAGGTACTATGGGATAGATTAGGCAGAGAGTGTCTCTTCAGTTTGGAATTGCTTGTCTTTGAAACTTTTGAAGAATTCAATCCACAACAGTTTTAACTTGAATTCACTGTGGTGTTCTTGGATTAGGTTTTGCTTCTCTTTAAGCTCATCACCTGTTTTAAAAAGTGCTCAGTAAAAAGGAGGAAAAGTAACTCTTGATTCTTTTCTGTCCTCATGAAATGTCTGTGGCCTGATCAGATGCTGCTTGGAGCAAGATCACCTCCATCCAACCGAACAGGATTGCTTTTCCCTATTTCTCCTCTAGGTTGGAGAGACTGTAGATGCTTGCTCTGAGTATGGCCAATTCTCACTCTGATTTATCTCTGAGCTCTGGTGCCAGGCCTCACTCTGGCCCCTGTTCAGCCTCCTGCCTGATCCTGTAAGTCCTTTCCCCTGACGCTGGTGGGTATGAAGGGCACTGAGTTGCACTTGGCCAGAAAAGCCAGGAGTAGGGATTCTTCTGGAGCAGTATTCTGTGCATATTCAGGTGTGGGGTTTTTAAATAGCGATGAAAATCCCCCTGAATGCTGAATGATTTTACAGATCAGTGGCATGCAGCATTTCAGCCTGACACTGGAGTAGCAGGAGTGCAGAAATCTGGTATGCTGTTCCATACTCTCTTTGTTTGGATGCTCATTCCCCATTAACGGTAATTGTGTGTCCAATTTCCTTAAGAAGCTTTTAAAAATCTCAGCCTGAACTGGCACACACAATCTTAGTCATTGTCCCTTCTTTATCTTTTCCCCTTACTGCCAAGAAAAGCCCAGTATCCCTGGACTGAGATGTTTCAAAGATGAACTAGTTTATAAAGTCTCCCTGCTGACACAGCCTCTATTTCTACAGAACAGCCAGAGCTGTGGTGATACCAGAGATGGATTTGAAATAAGCATATAATGGAACTGGGTGCTTTAGGAGTGCAAGAGCATCTTGCTATCCGTGCTCCAGTGGCAAAGCCACGTTGAGTATCTTTCTTGCTAGAGTTCTACTTTTTACCCTCTATCTGTTTGGGGGTTTCTGTTTGGTTTTTATTTCATTATTTTAAACAGGTAGGTGTCACACTGTCTTCTGAGTCATGGTGCTAACCTTATTCCTTGGACCTTCCTTACCAAACCAGCTGCAGTAATGTTTCACTCCAGAATTGCATGAATTTTGCATGTCTGATGTCTTGCTATGAAATGAATACTTTTAAACCAAATGTTTGTGTGTGTATGTATCAGGGGGAAGATGTCTGTGTCTTCCCCCCGCAACCAGACTTGCTCATTTCTGGCACCCTGTGTTTGCTCCAGAGAGTCTGCCAGATGAATTTAGTGCCTTCTTTTGGGGTTGGAGTTGTGCAACCCAACACCAAATAATTATAGTACTGCCTTAGCAAACTAATTGCATTAACAACGAGCAGGGTACATACAAGGAGCAGGGTAACACTTGTGCTTGTGCCTTTTTTACTAAAATTTGCTGTGATTATGCTTCTCATTCAGCTTAAAATGTTTGGTTTTTTTTTTTTTTTCAGATTTTCCCAGTGTAGCAGCCTTCTGCATGCCGCTAATGATGTGTTGCTCTCCTTTTCAGGACCCAGGTCCTGTGCTAAATGAAGTGTCCCAGCCTGGCACTGGCACTGACTATCCAACGTCCTTCACTTCAATCAACAAGTCTTCCTCTGCCTATCCCTCTACTACAATCGTCAATCCCACTATTGTCCTCTTGCAGCACAATCGAGGTAAGGAGACTTGCATATAGATATTTGTGGCTCAAACTGAGCAACCTGTTATGCTACAAGGAACTGGAGAATGTGTGCATCATGGACAATTAAGTCCAGGCTAGTAAGCTAACAAAGCTGCTTCTAGAAGGTTGTAGTGACTGGAGCATACAGCAGGCGAGTAAGAGGTTAGAGGCGTGGGACAATGCCTACTTCTTCTAATTGAAACCTGTGGATCAGAAGCCACTCTGATGTTGGGGAACAGCCTTATAACTGGGCTATGGACATATGAATTAGTTATTGCAAGGTAACAGCTTATCCCCCATCAGGAGTCCTGTCATGGTGAAAAAGGATGTTCACTTTCATCTGTCAGTAGAAGCAAGGTAGCTGAGGTAGGTTTTCAGTCACTGGAAAAGGGGATATGTTACTTCTCAGCTACTGCCATGTGAAAGCAGGCACATTTTCAGTTACTGTGGAGTGAGTTGACCTTTGAATTCTCAGCAGAATTAAAGTAAATAATCCATTTGCCCATAAGTTTGAACTTTACAGTTTATTCCTCTATCCATAACTAGATCAACTCAGACTCATACTGCAGTAGTCCTGGAGTTCCAGGTTTACAAAACAACCTTGTTTGAGCACTCCCACATTTACTAATCTAAGCCTTTCTCTGCCTTACAGCAGCTCCCTCTGAATGGACAGTTGCATCTCTTTACCTCTGGCATTGGAAGAAAACTTTGCTTCTCTTTTTTAGTTCTCCTGATGACTGGCATTACCCCAGCCTCCCAGTTCATTGCGCATCACTAAAGACCGTAGCTTATAAAGGGCCACAAAGATGCAGTTCAATTTCCCTTGATTTCCAGTGGTCTTAGGAAACTCCAGGACAGGCAGGTTTCAATCTACAATGCTACAACTTACCTTTAGCGAAGAAAAAAAAATAATAAAGTCAGAAAATAGAGGCAATGCCTGCACTCCTTATATTGTAGTCATTCTAATTACAGGTGTGCATCAATGTGCTTCGTTGCAGCCTCCCACGTATCTTTTTCAGTGCATTTTTAAAACAGATTTCAGTCTTTGATCCTGAAGATAGTGTCCTCACTGTAGCCCAGCTGATAATAGGTGTAATGAGTTGGTTATCTCTTCCTTTTTGCCAGCATCAGAAGCAGCTTTGCTTATGTGCTTCTGAATGAGGGTGTCTGGATTCCTCAACTGCTTCAAGAGGAGGAAATATTATTTGAGGCAGCCTTTTTTATCTCAAAAGTTTTTTGTTGACTTTCTTAAGGCAGGATTCTCTTTTGGTTGGTTTTTGCATTGAATCTGGAGCATTTCAGTGTATACTACGCAAGGATATTTTCTCTCTGTAGATTTTTAAGAGCACGAGAAACAAATCTGTATATGATGATACACACTCACTGGCTCTGAGACAACTGATGTGAAATTGTTCTGTTTACTAATTATCTTCACAGTTAACAATTTGTCCTGTCTGAATGTCTTGCCTCTGACCATTAGCACTTGTGATACTGTATCCTGATAGATTGAAGAGCCTTCTCTCATCACATTTTTGTTGACTGTGATATAGATCATGGCCTGATAAACAACTTGATTGAGTCTGTGATGTATCCCATTCTAATATATATTTTTCAGTCTTTATTAGTCAAACTTGCAATTTGCAAGAATCATATTAAACTGATTTGACAAGGCATCTTAGTCATAAATCTGTACTGACTGATGTTGCATGTGTCATACTATATGTTTATTAGTAAAATCCCATATAAGTCATTACAATTTTTTTTTCCTGGCATTATTGTTGACTTGACAGACAGCTGTCCCAGCCTTCACAGTAATGCTTTTTGAAGGTTGTCACAACATTTGCTTTCTTCCTTGTCTTGTGGAGTCGTCTTTGTTTTCCAGGACATACCGAGGATGAATGTTAATGGTCCAGTGAGCTGCTCTCTTCAATAACTACTCTCTTTAGAGCAGAAAACTGCTCTAAAACTCTTCAGTACAGTTTGTATGAATGTGCTAATTTTCAAGCATCTGATCTCAGTTGTCATTCAGCATACTCCTTAGTTACTGTTGAAGTGGAAAGTATTTCTCCATCAGGGAGTAGGACGTCAGACTTTTTTCTTTTCTTTTTTTCTTTTTTTTTTCCCAAATGCAGAATGGAAATAGTAATCAGATGTGTCATCTTTTCTGCTCTCTTATTAACAGTTCTATTGTGCCTGTTTGGTAAAAGAACAAGATTGCTAGGTTTCTATTTATTATTCATATACCTCAAAACCTATTTTTGAGTCTCTGAGACATTCAGTTAATTCTTTTACTTCATTATAATTTTCTTTCACTTCCTAGCATATGTTACATACCCATAGGTATGCATTTTCTTACTTTTCCATCTTTTTATGTACTGAGGGTTTCTTACTGTTCCTTATGTTTCCATTCCTATCTAGGCTTTATCCCTTAATAGCATTAAGATTTATTTTTGCTAACTTAATGTTTTTAAATGGTTATCAGATCATAGTTATCTGTTACATTTCTGTCCTGACTGACATGATTCATATTTGGTTTCATCTTTATGGACTTTATCTATTAAAAACTGGATTGGTCTCCTGGCATGTGACAAATTGTTACTAGGTTATGATCCACCTTCCACCGAATGGTTAATGATTTTTTTTTTTTTTGTGCTGAAATCAATTCCTTCGTGACAAGATGAGGTTTAATATAAATTCCTTGTGTGCTATGAAATGTCCTCTGAATTAGAAATTTCAAGGTCATTTTAATGCTGTCTGTCTGAGATCTCTAGTAGTTTAGTTAGTCTTCCAGATGGATAATTTGGCTTGCTTTCTCATCAGTGGATTATTAATTACTTTAAGGAGCTGGTTTTCTTATTCTCTAGAGTGACTGTTGTAGCAGACATCACCTACTCTCCTATTTTTTTATCTGCTAGTTCATTAATCTGTAAGCATGTAAGACTCTTTGATTTGGAGCTATCAGAGACTTAGAAGCAGGTAATGGCATTTGAAGCACAGAAACTATACTATATCCTTTTTTTGACTGCTTGATCTTACTCAGAAAGTTGTGATGGGAGATCTCAGAATTTTTTCGACTGGATTTCAGTAATACCAACTGGATAAAATTTATGCTTATGAACAAGTAATTTCAGATCTTCTTGTTCATTCGTAGCACTAAAGTAAGAATTTCTTCCCTTCATGTCTCTTTTTGACACCTTTATTTTGTACTAAACGTACTCAAATATTTGTTTCCTCTTCCCCTTTTGTTACTGGTTTCAAGTCTTATTCTCCTCCAGTGCTCCCTCCTCTGGGAACTCTGAAGGCATCTATAATCATTCCTTCACTGTTGCCAGCAGTTATATTCCTCTGCTCGACCCTTTCTCCGAAAAGCCTACGAGGTTTTGGCCTTTGCAAGCAGTCCCAGAACACAAGATCAAGGATGAAAGCCTGAGTTAGCTGGTGTGTGCCTGGGGCTACAAGCTGTCTCTGGTCAGGCAGGAGAGTGAAATAGCACTGATCCTCCCGATTCTTCTGCTTCTACCCGTCAGCAGCTCTCTCTCCTAGTCAGACACACAAGTGAAAAGGAAACCTCTTCTTCATGTAAAAACATTTTTTGGTTTTTTTTCCACGAAAAGTCTATTCATCCATGATATTCTCTCCTCTGTGGAGGAAGAGATAGGAAAGAGCTCTCAAGCATCAACTCTTTAAACCACATGTTTTTGTCAGGAGACCTTATTGACTGAACACAATTCTCCTTAGTGAAAGTGACGGCTGAAGCTGAAACCATCCTCACTCGCATCTCCTGTTCTTTCTCATCATACACCAGCCTACTCCTGATGGCCTCTTTTGAAGACTGAACCCCACGGCAGGTGGTTCCCATCTGCGTTTCAGGTTCAGATTGTTAACTCTTCCTTTTCCCCATTGCATGTAGGGGTTTGTTTCATATGTTGGCAGCTATCATGTGAGCATAATGCACACAAACAGCTTGCCACTGGTGGTTAGCAGAGCAGAAGCGCTGTGGTTAAAGACCAAAGTTCCTAGATATGGGTGAGGGAGCTGCACTTAGTGAGGAGAAATATCAGTTTCCCCTGCTGAAGTTGATCCACTTAGTACAAATACCTAGTGAAGGGTTAGGGTTCTGTTGGAAAACAGCATACAACTGGAGGATTGTTACCTACTGCAAATTTGCTTGGCAAGTGTCCCACGCCACCCCAAAGCACAGTTATTTCCTGGGCGGCATTGCATGGCATGATTTATTATGAATATATAACAGGTGTGATTAATAATTAAAGTTTTAAATCTTTGTATTAACAATATGAGCTTTCAAGAGTGTATTTTGTAGGTCAGTAAAATAGTTTCTTCTTTTCAAATGGCATTCATGCTTTAAATGAAAGGATTAATTGCTAGGGAGTAGAAAGAGCAGAGAACAGAGAGAGAAGAATCCTGGGTTTACTCCCAGCCATGACTTTGGCAAGTCATTTGGGCATCCCTTTAGAAAGCAGCTGTAAGCATCAACTTTAGGGTGGTCGAGGATACTGGAAGATACCACAAATGTCCTAGTCTGGGAACTCAGTGCTGAAAGGTCCTAAACCAAGGGGACCATTCTGAGAATCAAAGCCTTAATCAAGCTGCGTCTGTGTGCAAATCACTGAATCTGTGGCTCGGCAGTATGTGATGAGACTCAGCAAGGACCAACCAATGACTCAATCCTTTCCTATATCCCTTCAAAATGCTACAGCATTATTGTTTCAAAATGTATTTCATGCTAATGGTAACAGAATTAGTTGTCAAATTGGTTGACTCCGCGAGTCTTTACTGTTTTTCAAATTGTCTCCTGTCCAACTTTTTTCATTCTCTTATGTTAAGAAAAAAATTTAAAAAAAAATGCTCTTTTCAAATGTATCGGTCACTGCATCATGAGATTTATAGTATTCCACAAGGCTGCAGTGTGGAGAAGGGACTGTGGGCTGTCACTTTGACAGGGTATTTGAAAACAGATTCTCTCCAGCAGCTGCTGCCATTCTGTCTACAGCGTATTTCTTGCCTGTCAGAAATGCAGCACAAGAGCACTTGCTGTTTATGTCTCACCCATTTGTTCTGTGTTTCTTTTTGTTTTGTTTCTCCCTTTACCACAGAACAGCAAAAAAGGCTTAGTAGCCTGGCAGGTATGATGTGAAAGGTCTGCTACCCCCCAACTGCTGACTTTGCTGGAGCAAAGCTGCTGCTTTGTTAGCTTGTGGAGTACCTTTAGCAAACACACTTCCCAGGAACTGCAAAGGAATGAGTATAAATATTTGTCCTGGCTTAGTCCAGGTCACTGAATGTTTGATTTCAGTCTTTTCTCCAAATGCTACCTGTGTGGCCACATGTTAATATACCAAAACCCTAAATTACTTGTCTGTTCCTCCTAAGTCATGAAATTTACATACAGTTTGATTGTTCTAGTTAACTTTTGGGGCTGTCTTTTGAGCCTTTAGGTTCATGTCCTTGGGGCACATTCTCAAGTTTCTCTACACAGCCATTAGAATTAGTCTTGCTTGTGGTGAGAGGTGAGAAAGAGAAATAAAAATCAGTATTTGCATGACTCCAAGAGCAGAAGTATTTGTGCCAGATGTCAAGAAATAGATGATAAAATTGTAGTGTGCAACTATGCACGTGTGGTGCTACCCTTCTCTCCCTGGGCAGCTCTCTGCTCTTGCAACAAGTGTGAGAGTCTCTCCTTGAAAGAAGAGCAAGTTGTTTTCCTGGTCATCTTTCCCCCTCCAAACCCCAAATAGAAGTAGCTCAGTCTGCAGTGGGTGTTATAGGAGCAGCGCATTATGCACTGCTTTACCCATATTACTATTCTTTGGTTATGGTGGTGTAAACGGGGAGGTGGGAGAGAAGAAAGTTGCAAAGAGTGCCTGAGCACTTTAAGTATCACAAATACAAACACAGAGAAGCCAACACTGTGTGATCTTGCTCTGCTGCATGGGCCCTGGACTAGCAGAGCTTGTTCCATGAGGCAGCACCTGACCTGGTCCGACTTCATCCACCAGGTTCCTTTGGCTGCGACACCAGCCCGTCCCTCCTCTCTGCTGCCGCCCTGCTGAGGTGTCAGGCTGCATAACAGTTTACACAGGTTTCTCTCAGCTTCTTCCCTTGGTGTAGGCATTGCCTCATTGGACACCACTGTTTAACACAGAGTTTAACGCTTGCCTGCAAGTCTGGAGAGAGGTTTCCTGTTGGTTTTTCCTTTCACAAGGTGTTTCCCTTCATTATCAGGAACTCCTTTGTTTTCTGAACTAGAGGTAGCCACAGAGCACTTTGTTACAGCCCAAATGATCCTTGGTCTGAAAGAGTAAAGTGTGTTGTGGCACAGCTGGGTCTGCACCTGCTCTCAATGGACTGAAACAACCACACAAAGCTGCTGGCTGGCACCTCTCCCCCTGTTTTTTGTGGTTTTTATGTCATGGAAGAATGGTCTAGTTTCAGTTTCTCTTTCCATGCTTTGTTTCTAGAGGCTTAGAAAGGAGTTTAGTAATGTCAATGGACCAAATACTTCCTACAAAATGGGGAGAGCCCTGTACACCAAAGACACAAAAGGACCAAAAGACAGTGCACTCACCTTCACAGGGAGGGGAAATAGGATGAAAATGCTAAACAAGGATTTAATAGATGCTTTGCCCCATTTTGAACATTTATAAACATTATTTCATTTTTCTTAAAGAGAAGGAAGAATTAAAGTGTGATGGTAATTCAAACCAAGCACTCAAACACAAATCTTTCACATACTAAATTTCACAGGGCAGAGTTGTGTTTGCTGAAGGTACCAACAGACCAATGCTTTGTTGTGCACGAGCCTTTCCTCTGCTAACTGCCCCTTTCAAATTTCTGCACGTTTAATGGCTTTGGGCAGTATGGTGATGTGCATGTGAATAAACATATCTCTCTCTCTCTCTCTCTCTCTTTCCAATGCATGCAGTGATGTGAAAAGGGTAGGATATGGCAAAGTCTTGATGAGGCAGACTGCAAAATCACAGATATTTCCTCTCCAGAAAATCCACATAGAAAAAGTCCTCAGCAGAGCCTAAGTGTTGCTGTGCTGCAACTCTCCAGACCATAGTAGATCTTCAGAACAGCCTGAGCTCCCTCGGTTCCTTGGGTGGTGGTGGTGCCTGCTGCTATGTCTGAGTGTCAGTTGGGCAGCATCAAGGAATTCCAGGTGGAAGCAAGGCAGTCTGGAGCAATTAGTTGTTTCCCCCCATCTTTACGCAGACTTATATACAAGAGGATTAATACTTATGCTAAGCAAGAGAGTAATTTGTTGTTTACAAACTCTGGTTAGAGCACAGAGATGAATTGGAAGCGTCGTATACTGACTATGACAAAGGGGATTGTCAGGCAGGTGAGTGCAAGCTGTTAAAAGTAGTGCCCCACTGCCCTGTAGGGTGCTCCTTTAGATTGAAATCACCAGCAGAAAAAGATGTCTAGGAGATTGTATCAATGATGCTTTTCGATGAAGAATAAGATTGCAGAATTGCCAATTAGCAAAAAGACACAAAAACCCAAACCCCAAACAGCCCTTGAAACCAAAATTTTCCCTTGTCTTGTATACATGACAGCTGAGACTGTCATGAGATGTGTGAAGATGGAGACCTGAAAGATGGTAGCCTGCTTTTGCTGGCACCATTTTCTTGGTAGATTTCCTTTAGTCCAGATGCTAACCACAGCTAGCAGTGACACAGTCTGTCTCATCAACCACTTGCTAGGATTTTTTCTTTCAAAGAGTGGAATATGGTGAAATGCTGGGATAAGAACCCCCCATTTTCATTTCCAGATTCAGTGCCAGACAGACTAGCTTCTGATAAAGTTGATTCAGCACGTATATGGGACAAGCCAGTTCAGGAGACAGTGCCAAGTGAGAAGAGGGCAATGGAGGAGAAGAGAAGCATTGTCAAGAGCTCTAAGCACATGGCTGATACCTCTGTCGATGATATTGGCATTCCACTGAGGGTAAGAAAACACAAAACCTGGGCCAGATTCTGCCTACCTTGGGACTTGTGGAATTTACTAAAGCTCCAGAGACTGCAGAGATTTAAGGGAAGACAGAATTCTAGTTCCAGCATATTTTATTATGAATGCTTCCCTTTGCTATCAATGACCTGGTTCAGCTGCCTCAGGAGGAAAAATTTAAGAATTAATATCTCTTTTCATCATATTTGAGAATACTGTTTTCTGTTCTGTTTCATTCACACTTAGCAGCTAAGGGAGATTCTCTTTTATACATATCACTTATACAATATGTTTAAGTTCAGTGCTGAGAGGAAATTATCATGACAAGAATTACTAACCTATTCTTACAACTAGTGTCTGGAATGACTTGAACACTAAATGTTTCTAACTTAAGAAATTGATATGTGTGACTAAAATAGGCAAGGTGTTTACTTTTAGATGTGAAATCAGATTAATATGCAAGACCTTCCACACAATCTACAGTTCTACACAGGTTACAAACTACCCCTGTAAAGCTTTATTATTAGTACATTATTAGTAACTTGAGTGAAGCCTGTAGCTTCATTACATATGAAATTATGTATCTGAGTGAAATCATATTTCAAGGCATGAATTTCATGTAGCCTTGATTTTTAGGTAGTCAGTGATAATAAATGAAACAGGAAGCAGAGCGTAAACCTTTTTCACTGCTGGAAGATTCTTAAGAAGTTTGAAAGGCTGGTAGAATTCATGGTTGTGATTATGTGTATATTTGTTTTTTCAATAGAATACAGACAGATCGAAGGACTGGTACAAGACGATGTTCAAACAGATCCACAAGCTAAATAGAGGTACTGTAACACAGATGGTTTTTATTTACTTTAAAAGACCACCTTGATAACGTTTTGTTTCATTCATGCGAAGAATTGTACTGGATGTTAAATAAAAGCATTTTATGTTAACTAGTGTTTGCTCTGCACCACAGAACTCAACCACTGTATTTGAAATCTCTGAAGTCAAAGGTGAGAAAACACTGAAGTCCAAAGAAAGGTCTGAGTTGTTCTGAAAGGTGAACTGCAGTGCCCTCACGAAATCGAGAGTACTATTTGAGATCAGAAACCTGCTAATTCTATACTTAGAGAAAACAGATCCCTGAACTCCAGTTATAGCAGCTAACCTCACCCCACACACTTTTAAAGGATAGGAGGTTATCACTGAAATGGCTCTGTGCACAAAAGAAAACTTTACACTGTAAAGCTTTAGTACCTGCATAACAAAGCTTGATTTGAAGCTCACTGAAACCAAGGTTTCCGTTGATTTTTGGTGAGTTCAGAATCTGAACTCTGCTTTTTCAACACCTCAAATTTTCTCCTTTCAAAGTCTAAATATGTGGCAAGCACTTGCAAATTTTGTAGTGGTGCACTCTCAGGGAATCCCCTACTTTGGGGCACTTCTGTGCCTGGCTGCTGGTACACTCACATTCGTTCTTCTGTGTAAGAAATGACTGCAGTAGCATTTGCAAGCTGAACCCTCTGAACAGCCTGATGTGCAGGCAAATGCCATTCAGAACTGCGCTTATATAATAAAACATAAGAGCATGCAAAACTGGAGCTGTATTTGCTGCTGCAGGTGCTGTCATGATAAGCTTTCTGCATATATAGATGCTGTGTTGGATGGAATGAGAAAGAACTGAACTGTTTCCTAATCCCAGTGCTCCTAACAGAGGTTCTTCAGCTCAGCCAGAGCCCATGCTTCAGGAGGAGAAGAAAGAGTTCAGTCCCCTTGGCTTCCAGGGTCTCTCGCAGGGCCCAGACATGCAAGGCAGCAATGAGCAAAGAGACATCGAGGTTGTGTCATGCTAGAACATCAGCATGAGAGGGACTGTTCTGCCGCTTGTATGGATTCTTGTCTTGCCCTTCTTCCCCTTTATATCTGCCCTCTCTCTTCTCTTTTTGCAAATCATGTTCCTCTCCTTAGACACTCCTGAAGAAAACCCTTATTGCCCTACCTACATATTTCCTGAACTTCCTGAAATCCAGCAAAAACCCGAAGGTACCAGAAGTTTAGTCAGAGTATCTGTTGTCTTGTGCTTTCAGTTAACTGTACTATAGCACCCTAATAGTAACTAGATTCAGGTCTAGATTCCTATTACACATGTGTTACACTGGCTGAAAATTCAGTTATGCCCGTATACCTTCTTGTGTGATGCATAAAATAACTAAATCTTTGCTAATCCATTAATCTTTTTTAAAGTATGATGCCATTTACTCTAGTATTATTGAAGTAGGCAATAAAATCATATGGTGATAGGAAATTGGGGGATGAAGCAGAACCTCCACTTCACTGTGGATAGTCTCAAAATCCACTGCTTTTCTCTGCTGCAGAAGACAATCCTTATTCTCCTACATACCAGTTTCCTGCGTCTACTCCTAGTCCTATCTCTGAAGGTAATAATAAAGGACCATATATATTTTTCTGCACAAATGCTGCCTTATCCATTTATTTTCTTCCTGGAGTTTTTTGTAGTTGCTGAGCATTATGCTGCCTCATAATGATTTGCTGCACTCTAAGCATTGCCTTGACTGTATGATGCCTTTTTGGCTTTGCAGTGCTCCTCTGGCTTTGTAACTAGTATTTGACTAATGCTACAGACTTGGGGTTTGCTTGGGTTTATGCGCTTATCAGTTGTATTTAGCCATGTGCGTGCAGTGATTATTTAACATGCCTAGAATGCTTACTTACATGTAAAGATGCGATATAAATGAAATTTCACCCACCCCCCTTTCGGATAAATACATTTCTTTAATTATTTACTTCTGGGTTTGAATATTAACACAATATTAGGGCCAGACCCAAAATGCCTCTGAAGACTATTGGTAAAAAAAGGCTGCTTGCTTCAGTGGGTTTTGGATCAGTCCCTCAATATAGTCTTTTAAAATAAATATAACTTGGTAACATAGGTTCAGGGCTGGCCTTAGGTGCACTTGGCATATCTAGGCAAGGATAGAGTTTGACAGTCTCATTAGCACATCTTGCAACTTGAAATAGCACTATCTTTACCTTATCCTCTTCATGTGCTCAGCAGATTCCTTTCAACTTCATGTACAAACCACAGTCCTTTGCAGTCATGTTTCAGGGATGGTGAAATAGTAGCTATTGCAGTGATAATCCTGTAACTGTGTGATATGCATAAAACCACTTATATATGAGAAACACTGGAATCTGCTGCACACATTGGACACACAGACATTTCCCGATGGGGAAATTGTTGTTGGTGACAGCCTTGTTGGCTTGGTGCTTTGGTATCACTTTAGATCCTAGAGTTTAGGAACTTGCCTACTTAGCCTGTGCCTCAAGCCAACCCTGGTGACATTATAAATTAACTATTTCGTTCAATGTTTATGTTAAACATCTGGTGGGTACTGTGTAAGAAAGCGTACAGTATGGGTTCTAGCTGAGATGCTCAAAGAAGACTAGGAGATGTAAGGTGCATTTCACTGTCAAAATGAATGTGGACTAGTGTCATACAGGTATCTAAAATACTTGCTCATTTCTTGGTGAAACCTGTAGGTGAAAAGTCCTGTCTTGCAAATCATAATGCAGCATACATTATTTTCTATTGACAGAATGGTATGTTGGTATGGAGGAGACAGAAACAAAGAGCCTCAATAACTAGTTGATAAAGGAGTTTCACAGAGATTCAATTTTCTTATTTGTAGTGAAATTTGGAAATCCATTTTGCTTGTTGTCTGAACTAATATAGTTTGCAAAACCAATGATGATAATATACTAAGAGTCTGGTTTCCCATAAATGTCCCCTGTGCAATTACAAAAGTACACATGAAAATAGTTTGCTGGTTTAGGTAGTTGAAATTTTATTGGTCCAAATACTTGCTCTTTTTTCTCAATACGTTGGGAAATGTTTGTCTAATATCTGCTTGGATTCTTTTGCTGTTAAGGAATCCAGACTATCTGACGATGTAGATGGGTTGGAATGCATGTTTCACGTTTAGAAAACGTTTCAAAGTGGTATACTCAACTGCAAAGTGTTTACACAGAGATGGATCGAAGCCTCAATTTCATACAATCAGTGTCAGAGATTTTTGCTTTGGATTGATGCATAGGATCCCCTAGGAACATCAAGATTTGGGCTCCTCTCTATCTTTAGAGTCTGAAGGTACTGAAATATAGAGATTTTGGCCAATCCTTTTAAAAAAAAAAAAAATCTGCAGATTCTGTAGGAACTACAGGGGAACAGCCTCTTCTCACTAAAGGAATCGGATTTTGAAACTACAAAATGGTGATACTCTGCTCAGTTAAGGAGGGTCCCACAGATGAAATGCAGCTCTGAGGGCCAGGAGATCTTGTTTTAATGCTCATCTCTGATTTACTCTTTAATCTTTATGAAGTCATTCCAGATTTCTGTGTTGCAATATTCCTTGCTGTGAAAAGGGAAGAAATGGAGACACTCCTCTTCATAAGATACTCAGAGACAAAACTTACATGTTCTCATTATTATTCTAGATATTAGAATATTAGCAATTGGAAGATAGCACTTATCTGCAGTGATTTTTATCTTCTGTATGATTTTCCTGTCTGAATGATCAGCTATAATGAATGTTGATATTTCTCTTCAAGTAAGTAAATAAATTTTTTGATTGTTCACCAGCACTAAATAATACTGAGAGGTGAATGGCTGTGAAGATAGTTTTAGACATTTGCTCATCTGTATTTGTAGGGACAGAGTTTTGTGATCTACCAAGTATTTTGCTATATCTGAATAAACCCATCTTTTATATAGCAATACAAGGCAATTTTGTCAACCATTCAGTGTAATAACATTAAATAAATAAATACTTGTTTTCTGTCATTTAGATTTAAAATATGGGAATTGGTCTGGAAATTGACCTTCACTGTTTTTTAACATGAAGGTTATGATAAGCACACCAGAGTTAATAACCATCTGCTTGAAACTTAAACCTTCTAATTCATTCACCAAGAGAACTCAGCAGAGGGGCTAAAAGTTAAGACTTCTTTGTGCCTTCCTGAAAGGCTTGATTAAGCCTTGAGTGCAATTTCAGGTCAGCTGTGTTAGCCAGATTGGTTTTTCCAGCAGATGAGATTGGCTGTAGCAGCTGATTGATGTTCTCCTTGAGAGAAGAACTGAAAATTGTTTCTGTCTGTTGATCGGCATCACTAAATTCACATAATGCTTTTTCAGTATGTTCTTTTCTGTCCTAGTTTTCAGCTGGGATGGAGTTAATTTTCACAAGAAGCTGGGAGGGGACATGGCCAGGACAGCTGACCCAAACTAGCCAAAGGGATATTCCGTACCATATGATTTCATGCTCAGTATATAGAGGAGGGAGCTGGCCAGAGAGGGGGGATCACTGTTCGTGGACGAGCTGGGCATCAGGTTCTGGGCAGTGAGCAAATTTCATCGTCTATCAGCCACTTTGCATTGTTGTTGTTATTTTCCTCCTCCTTTGCTGTCCTAGGAAACTGTCCTTATCCAAACCCATGAGTTTTACCTTTTTCTTCTGATTCTCTTCCCCATCCCACCGGGTAGGGGGAGGAGTGAGCGAGCGGCCAGGTGGTGCTTAGTTGCCAGCTGGGGCTCAACCATGACATTTTCATATCTAGCTTATTCTAGCTTCATCTGTTTTGTTTTTCTGTCTTTTTATCTCTGTTACTTTTAGTGGTTTCTTCACAGAGGTATTAGTAATGCCTTTTCTCACAGTTCTCTCTGCAGTCATTGCATCGTACTTCCCTGTGTTTTGCCTTGGAATTCCTGTAGGTGTCTCGTATATACATCCCTGCAAGTTTGAAGCCTCAGCAGCAGAGAAAGGCCTGTGGGTCCAGTTGTAAGGTCTGGTCCCAACTCCCCCTGCCACTACCTGCAGTTCATTGAGGATACATTCCAAAGCCTGTTGAAGATGGTGAAAAGACACTGCTAGGTTTTTGATGAAGTCAGTCTCTCTGGCCATCACCCGTAGAGTGGGGGGTGGTAAAGCTGCCATCCTTCCACCTTCTTTTTTGGGCACATCTGCCTTGCACACTACAGTACAGCATTCTCTTTGAATAAGGCAGTATGTGGTTTTATGGCCCAAGGCAGCAGTTGTGTCCTGGGAATGCCATTACTGTGTTGGTACAGTGCAGTGCTTTCACGATCAAAGATGGAAAGTTGTTCAGGTTGGGGGCCGTACCACACCATTCAGTTACACTGATGTTATTGCTAGCTCTTTTAGAGCTGCTTGAATATCTCTATCGCATTCTACAGATATCTCTCCTATTTAAAAAGTAAGCTCTTCAGAATGAGGACAGATTCTTAGTGTGAGTATACCTGTGCGTCTCATGCCAGGAATGTTATCTGCACTTAAAAGATAATCTGAGTCGTAATCTGAACATACTTCAACTTGGGGTGCGAGTTAATACAAGGAAGATGTCCCAGCGATTATCCTACGTGATTTGGGAGCAGGACTCCTCAGCTCTATTAGTGTGTCTAGCACCTAATGAGTTATTTTAGGCATATACTACAGCTTTTAGATCCTCAGTTTATCTTTCAGCGGTTGATAAAGTGGATCTAATAACCCTTATTATAGAGGAGTTTTGTGATAAAAAGGGATTGTTTTCTGAAGTGCTTTGAGAGCCTGGAGAAAGGTATTAGTGTAAGTAGTACATTAATATTTATATCTAATCTAGGAATTATTTTTAAATGCAATTTAAACCTCATTGAGATTTTCTTTTTTAGGATCCTCTCCCTGTGGTAAGTATTGGGCGTATTACTCAAATTATGGCCAATGTATTAGTAGAAGAAATGAAAAGAGTCTCTGGTGCTTTGGGGCTTTTTCACCTCACTTGCAAAATGCTTTTGTCTTTCAGATGAAGATTCTGATTCATACTCTCCTCGTTATTCCTATTCTGAGGACAGTAAGTAATTCACATTTCTTATGTAATCTGTCAAAGAGAAAAACATGTAAAGCATGTATTTATTTGCCTCCTATCCAGTTCACCAATATTCCTATATTTACTTATCCTACAGGCAGAACTCAGCTTTCAGTTCCCCGCTCCAAGAGTGAGATGGACAATATTGATTCAGAGAAGGTTGTTAAGAGGTCTGCCACTTTGCCACTGCCGAACCGTACTTCATCACTGAAATCAAGCCCAGAAAGGTGACCTGAGCTAAGATATATTTGGATCAGTAATGGAAGAATCTCTGAAAGCTGTGAATGGGAAGGGAACAAAGGTGGAAGCTTTAGGTCCACAACTCCGGTTTAACTTTTTTGGGGAAGTAGAGATGTAGTTTTGACTCTGTCTCTTCTACTGGGCAGCAGTGAACTCCTTCATTGTCACAGCCCTGTCCCCCATTTTGCCTGTCTTTTTGTTTTTTTTTTACCAGGCTTCACAGAGTCTGTTGCATAATTTCCTGCTTGGGTGAGGAGTGTTTCCCTGGGTGTCATGCCTGTACAGTGCCTACCACAGAGGCACAGTGGAAACTCTTGCCTCAGTGGCACTGTAAAGGCACCTCAGAATACAAGCAAGTAGCAATAATTGTGGAGAAGCAAAATTTGGATTTATGTTGAGCCTTGGTAAAAGTTTTGTTACATTTTCCATCTCTGAGGAGTCCCACCCATATGAACTTTATTGAAAGTAGGTTCTAGTTAGTGATGTCACTTCAGATCTTTCAAGATGATTTCCCTTCTGTTTTTTCGCTTTATTACCGTGTATTTTAAACCTCTTTGTAACAGTAATGAATGTGTTTACCAAATGAAGGGAAAGCAGAATGAGCAATGAATATTTGATGTCCTGCTGAATAATCCCAGCTCTTGAACTGCTCCTCCCTCCCTCACCAACTTCCACATGTTCTTAATGTTTTTCACTTTTTGCCTCAAATGAGCAATACCACAATTTCAGATTGCTAATTCAGTGAGCATTTCAGGCCACTGGATCAGGAAACAACGCTTCCTGATAGACTGTGCCTTACACAGGAATTGGAGGCATAGTACATTGGCCCTCTGAGAAAACTCTTGCAAGTGAAAGGATTGCAATAATTAGTGCTTTCTGATATCTAGTGACAAAACAATGTTTCACCAGGGAGAAGTTTCTCTGGGGTTGGAATCTTAAGCAATCAAGCTTATTCTAGACAGCAAAGTTCAACCTTGTTGAAATTTGTACACTGTTTTAGGCCAGTCATTTTGGCTGTCAGCTTGCCTTACCTTTAAAAAAAAAAAAAATTAAAAAAAATTTAAATTGGTTGTCTCTGTCTCTCCTAAGCTAGTAGAGAGAGAGTTTGGGCAACTCAGTGCATTGTTCCATCCTAAACATGGTCAGTAGGGTAAGTGGGAGGAAACCTAGAGCAGCAGTTTTGGTTACATGCCTCACTTTTGGTGAATGCTAGGTGAGATGAATCCACATACAACATTGCCTATCAAAGGGAACATATCAAGAGCAAGATCACAATTAGTTTACCATCTTAAATGGCCTGATTTCTGAGCTTTTTCAGGGGCATTGGTTATTCTGCATAAGGTGTTTGAACATACTACTTTTCAGAGGAGCTGGATATTGTAGGATATGGACCCTGAATGCTTTGTGACTACTATTGTCTGAACTGTGCCAGTGTGGACACTGCACAAAATTATAGTCAATGGACTGTTCTTAGCTATCTTTAGATATACCAGTCTGAGATAATTCATTCATGTCTCTGGAAAAGATCCCCTCTGGGACCCCAGAATGCCTCCAGAATCCAGAGCAGTGGTAGTCAGGTAATCAGTGATGTGGCTAAAATGAAGAAATTTAGCAAAAGAGATTTAATCTGAGTTCTGCTCAAAGTTTGGACATGTTCATATTTGTGAGCTTAGTTGAAACCTATCACTAAGCTATTTCCAGTCAGGAAAGATATGGAAGCCTGGAAGTTTATTGAAACTACTCGAAAGAAACCCCCTGTGCTCCAATGGTTTCAGCAGCTGAGCTATGTCAGACTCTGCCTGTTACAGATAAACAAATACATGCCTGGAGCCCTGTCTAAACTGTTCTTCTTGCAGCAGGTTCCTTTCCTAGATTAAAAAAAGTACCCTGATTAAACCAGGATTAACAGGGAAAGGCACCTGTCAAAAGGAAGTGCTCGTCTCCATGAAAACCACAGTGTTTTGGGTTAATTGATCTTTCTTTCCTCAGGACTGACTGGGAGCCTCCAGACAAGAAGGTGGACACCAGAAAATACCGTGCAGAGCCCAGGAGCATTTATGACTATCAGCCAGGAAAGTCCTCGGTTCTGAACAATGAAAAGATGGTAATGTTTGTTTTATCCTAGCTGGTGGCTTTATCCTGTGATTATAAAATACTCCCCAAGTGCTTGTCCCGTTCCATTCTAATAGGATTCCTTATGCTTACATTGCAGTGCTCGTGTGATGTATTTCCTGTGTATTTTGTTTTGCATAACTTCCTAACATTTTTGTCTCTATAAAGCAAGATCAAGGGGGATTGAGAGGCTTCTTTCCTTTTGGACGTGTTGTTTTCTGTGTTAAGTATGGATCACTAACCCTAGTTTTTAATCCACGTTTGACACTGTGACCTGTTCAGCAGCTGTTTTGCCAGCTGTACTTTTTCTAGGGCACAGCATTAGTTGATGCAGGAGGGCTGAAGGCATTATGCAACAGAGCAGGTTCAGTTTCTATGTTCCTCTGATCCTTTAAACACCGAGCTACTAATTTTTAGCGTGCCTGTAATGTGCCTCAGGAGAGGCCTCTGAGGTGCATTAGGACATGGCCATCTCCCCTGGGCTGCTTTCTTCCTCAGCTGGATCCCACTCATGTGGCAGGGTAGCAGAACTGAATGTGAGCTGGCTCCCCAGCTACACCGGCGTGTCACCTGGAGTATTAAGTGAGATGTTACCAATTTCAGCTTGAATTAGTAAGTAATGCTGTGCATTGTGACAGCCAGGGCACGTACAAAAGCCCCATTCTGCAGGCTTGGCTGAGAACACTTGGCAAGGGGCAGGGCAGAGGGGTTGTGCTAACCTTGTCAGCCTGTCCTGCGTAAGTCACCACAGCTCACTTAAGGTGTCCTTCAGTGGTACAAGTTGTGATATTAAGTGCTAGAAAATACTGAATGAGGTTATTAGTGAACAGCCAGTGTGGTACATAAAGATATAATTGTTCTATGTAGACATTAATTTGAAGGATTCAGTTGGAAGTGCTAATTGCATGTGAGGTTCCAAATGTAAACTTAACAGCTCAGGCATTGATCCATGCATAGGAGTAGGTAAAGGAATGGTCCTGAAAAACCTACCGAGGATTTTACACTGAAACACAAGAGTGAACAGCAATTTAAATCAATACAAATGTAAGAATCAAGTCTGATCTGGGACCTGATGTTTCTCCTTAGTATTTTGGTGGCATTTTTTTTCTTCCAAGTGCAATCAAGGTCCATCATGTTTTGAAGATCCAAGCAACCAACTTCTTTTCACACTTGTGTCCCTTCAGTGACTTCATCAAAGTTGCTTCTGATAGGAGCATGATCCTAGTGCCTATTGAAATGGGCAGTGGATGACTTTCTCTTGATCCTACTGGGCATTGGCTCAGCCCATTAGAGAAGTGCCAGTGAGGAGTGATTTGAAGATGGTATGACAACTCCATTCCTGCAGTCCATCCTGGAGCAAGGCTTCTGCTGACTTAAGTGGCAATTTTGTGTCACAGTAAACAGCTAAGATTGAACCTTGTGGGAAAAGGCCTGCCTCATCTGTGTACTTAAGCCTTTGCAAAAGATCTGGCATCACCAGTGGCACTGTTTACATGTTCAGACTTCATCAGGTACTTAATTGAGCTGTTGAATCAAAGTCTAAAAGCCACGAGCAGGACCCTAATCAGCAAAATTGAGAAAAGTTGTACAGATCTCATCAAAGACAAGAAGAATGTGATAGCTGTGTTACTTCCAGTGTTATTTTTTGAGCCTTAATTTCCAGCCACAGATCACAGAAGAAAGAAGGTTTTGAAATAGTGGTTTCATGGTCTCCATCAGTCTGATTAAATACAACGTTATTACAGTGGTTAGCAACTAGATCTTCCAAGGAGGCTACAGGACATTTGTGGATATCTCCTGGTAATCACACCCAGAGTTGTGACTATCAGAAACCCAATCTGAAACCATTTTGGAGCAATGAAGAGCCTCCCATTGACGTCAGTGGGCTTTTTTGTTTTATGTAAAGGCACTTGTGTAACAAGATAAGTACTGCTAGGAGTGCGATAAAGAAAAAAATGGAAACATTGCTTGTATTTTGCCTTTAAGAAATAGCCAAATGTTCCTCCAGGCCATTGGAGATCAAACGTGGTGTAACCATTTATCTTTCAGATTGAAGCTTTTCAGCATCAATCCTGACCTCTTGTCCTAGAAGTTTTTTTGACTGTGGCAGTGTCTGGGACATCTAGTGCTGTTGGGAACTCCCCCCCTGCCTCAGTAACCCCATCAAGAGGATGATTTGCTTCAGGACACTTTTTGTGTTGGCCCTCTGTGCATGTGTGTGGCTCATCGCTTGTTGGGATGGAGCACTTGGGATCGCGCTGGCATATCAGACATAATGTATTTATATTTTTAATGCACTGAGATGCATTCTGTCTAAGGCTAGGTACACTGAAATGCAAGAGTTAGCTAGATGTCTTTTGGGGAGTGGCACCTTATAACCCTCAGCAATGAACTTTATTCTCTTATCTCACCTGTAGTGTTAAACAGCTACAACTGCTTCAACTTGTTTCATCAAAACAGATTGTATGAACAAAAGGGAATTTTCTTTTCAACTGTACTGTTTTCTGTCCTGTCTGATTTTCTTTCGTTGTAGTTTTGTCTGATTCTTTAACATTTATTTGTGAAGAAACAAGTAATGCTGTCTCTCTATCCATCCCTCCAAAGGTCTTTCAGGAATGTGCTCTCTCTGACCTGTGTCTCCTTTGATTTAGAAGACCACCTTTCACTCTGTTTGCAGTGTATAGAACAGGGTTTCTCACATATTCATGTGCTGTTAAAGATGCAGTATTTGATTCAGGTCTCACTGAATCTCTCTTTTTAACAAAATGAAGATTAATAACAAATTTTAAAGTACAGGCAGCTTTGAACTCGGTGGAAAGTCCTGACAGTAGGACTGAGGGATTGGTTGACTCCCTGCTCTTCCATTGGGTCTCCCTATGACTCTGGGCAAGCTGCATAATGTCTCTCTGTGTGGGTCTCCTGATCTGTAAAATGCAATTCATTCATATTCATGTTGCTCACAATGATGCCATTAGGCTTAACTGATGTTTGCAAAGCAGTTCATGGCGTTTGTGAGAGAGGTGCTATAGAAATTCCAAATTATAAGGCTAAATATCTACATTTTAGAATGGAAATCATGGGATCTGCATCTCTAACAGTCCCTTTCCGTGTATTCTTTGCATAATGTTATCCTTCTCTTTCTTCCATTCCCCTATCACCAACTCCTTTAGACTCGGGATATAAGCCCAGAAGAGATAGATTTAAAGAATGAACCTTGGTATAAATTCTTTTCGGAATTGGAGTTTGGGAAACCGGTAAGTTTGATAGTTGCGATGACCAATGAAGTCAACCTGCCTTTTTTTTTTTTTTTTTTTAAAATGATTGTCACATCTCTTTGCTAGGCCCTAAACCTGGAACAGCTGCCTAACTTATTTAAATAATGTGATTGTTCAAAACATCATCCTGGTACTGATGTAAAACAGCTGTTCTGTGACCACTTTAAGTATTTTTGAAGCCATTTACAAACACTCCCCACTTTCCAGCTATATGTATCAACAAAGCAATTTTTTTTCACACACCATAGTTCAAACTGCATTTTTGTTGTTAATATTAGAAGTAATGCCCTATTCTCACTATTGAAAGTCCTTATTCCTTCTCTGCCTAACAAGATCTAGGATGGCTGATAGGTAGCTTTAAATCAAGGAGAATCATTCATTTATTCCTACCCTTGGCTTGTAAACCATAGGTCAGTAATTTCCAGCTATCCATAAACAGATCATGATCCTGTTTCCTGCTCATTTCCTTATGCATGTAGTTGACGATTGCCTAAATGGGGTGCATCAGTCTGTATTGAATAGCCTTTGCCATTCCCTGAAACCAAAGGAGTCTGAGAACAGTGTGCTTTCTTTTCAAATGGAGCTGTGTTGCTAAGTGTGTGTGTGTGAGGAAAAAAAAAAAGTGCCTTGATTTCCCACTCTGGAAAAAGATGAAGCAAAGCTTAATTATTCAATAGGACAAAGGACATTTTGATGGAGGGACACATCGTGACTACTGGAAAAAATGTGACTTTAAAGCAGTTTATGGCCTAGTTTTTACTCATTAAACACTATTAACTTCATTATTAAATACTGTTTAATAAGCTACTCTTACTGTACTGGAGGGTCAGTATCAGCCTCTTGTGTCTATTCAGCTACAGTGGTTGATCTCCTTTCTCCCTGATGTCAGTTGTCAAATGCCTATGCACACCATTAAAATCTTTGCAATACTATCTATCCCCCTGCAGCTGCTGATCTGATGGATAAGAAATATGTATTTAGTGTTTGCATCCACACAGTGGCTGTCCAAATGTAAAGTGGGACAGATGCAAACTACAGATCCAGGCAGTCTTGAAAGGAATTTGGACGAAGACCCAAGTGTTGTAGCTCAGACTCACCTTTGATAGACTGACACTTGGAGATTCCCTATCAGTGACTCAGAGGCACTTAAATAATCTAGTCACAGAAGTCAGTATGGACATGTAGGATGATGCTAAGCTTGCCAGCCAACAGCGGTTATTTTTGTTTGGAAACAGAGCAAATGTATTCTGATTTCACAAAGTAAGAACAAAGTCTCTTTGAGCCTATCAGTAAGAGGTGTGTATCTGGTGAAATGAGGATATTAATGTGGCATTGTTTGGATAGGAGTGTCAGGACAAAGGTCCTTCACTTTGAATAATCCTCCCTGATATTTACATGTGGATCCAAACAGAAAAATCCTGTTTTTGAAATTGGTGCCTTCACCTATAGGATGAATTTTAAATAACTAGTTCCCAAACTTCCATGTGCCACTCT